GCTAGACGTGTGCGGTGTTCTCACATTGTGAGTGGCTGTAGATAGGCGCGGCACTGTGGATGATTGTGAACGCGAAAGGTGCTGATTGTAGGTGGCTGAGAACTAGAGTAGTGTTGATTGTGGACCCTCGTGAGCACGTTCTGTGCTGGTTGCGGAGCGCTGTTCGTGTATGCGAGCCGTTATCTCCACTGTACGGAGGCGCCGCCCCTCCTCCCAGGTGACTGATGACGCTGTGCAGTGGACCATCAGCACGACGCGCGAGGCGGTAATGGTCTCTGCCAGCGGCCGACGAGCGTCAACACACGCCCGGCCGTGCAGGACGGGCCCGGCAAGCGGCGTCAACACGGCCGAGGAGCGCGCCGCCGCCGGGAAACTCCGCAGGCCGGCGCGCCGAGCGGCTACTTTCCGTCATCAAAGACGGGAAAACAGCGTCAAAAGAGGTGTTTGCTCGAGTGTTTGTGTTCTTCAGACTTGTGACAGCTCAAGAAAAAAGTGAGCTCGCTCAGCTCAACTCCGTTTTATCCGCTCCCGCTCAGCTCCCGCTCAGTTTAACACGGCTCAGCTCAGCTCACGCTCCGCTCAAACCGGCTGTGCTCCGCTCACGCTCAGCTCAGCTCAGCTCAGTTTCCGCTCAGCTCAGCTCAGCTCAGTTTCCGCTCAGCTCAGCTCAGCTCAGTTTCCGCTCAGCTCAGCTCAGCTCAGCTTCCGCTCAGCTCAGCTCAGCCCAGTTTCCGCTCAGCTCAGCTCAGCTCAGTTTCCGCTCAGCTCAGTTTCCGCTCAGCTCAGCTCAGTTTCCGCTCAGCTCAGCTCAGTTTCCGCTCAGCTCAGCTCAGCTCAGTTCCCGTTCAGCTCAGCTCAGTTTCCGCTCAATTCAGCTTAGCTCAGTTTCCGCTCAGTTAAATTCACGCTTAGATCGCTCAGTCGTTCTTTTTAAATCGGACATGCTTAACCCTCGCCCGTATAGGGGGGGGGGTCGAACGGACCCCCCTCTGTTTTTCGCGAATAACTCGCGTAAAAAGCGGCCGATCGCGACGAAACTTTCAGTACCCTCGCGATAATCAATTTTACACCTATCCTGAAAATTTCATGACCCTGACCCTAATGACCTTTGACCTGTGACCTACTTTTCGAGACCATGTTTGGCCGGAATCGCGATTCGGCGTATGTCGGCTCGCATTAGCCGCGCGTTAGCAGTCTTTTTGTGGTTTCAAGTGTTCAAACATGGCATATGATGTTGCTCCCATGCATTAGGGTGGGTGTCAAGGTCACCGGAAGGTCAGGTCAGGTCATTGACCTTTGATGACCTCGGTTCACTTTTTCGAGTTTTACATGTTTCTAGGCTAGTTTTTGGAGCTGAATTCGAATTTAGCAACCATTTGAACATTTACGAAGCAGTTTTGGTGCCTTCGTAACATGTTACGAAGCTGTCAGAGGCTACTACGAATACCCGGCAAAATCCTTACTGGTTGACCTGACCTGACCCGACCTGGCCTCAATGCATAAAGACATCATCAGTGATCATAACTAACATGATATTCGTGATCAGCACCCCGAAAAACCCCATAGCAGCCACGTTTTACGACGTTCTAACAGGTCCCGATTTTCCCGACTTTTGGGTCATTGACCTGACCTGGAAGGTCAACCGATAACCTAGGACCTTAAAATTGGGTATCATCGGCTTCCTCTCGTCGCGGGCAGCACGCTCGTTTTTTCCGCGAAGCTCTAGCTCGATCAGGGACGAAACGGCAAGGGGGGGGTCCAACGGACCCCCGCCCCCTTATACGTTCGCGGCTGGAAAAACACCAATACGGGCGAGGGTTAAAAAACAGACCAACTCTTGGCGCATAAGTAAGTCTCCTCTAACAAGGAGCAAGGCAACTTACACAATGGGCAAAAGAGATAAGCTCATTAAGACCTTGAGACTTTGCGAGTCGTGCGTCTACTTGGACTCAGACTATAGTTACATGAAATGGACTGTTCTTGGCAGTGTTATCACATGTTATCAGAGTGTGCACCCGCGATGTTAACATAACATATAAGTTCAAAATATACGAACGAAAAAAGTCTGGACGAAAAAGTTTACAGACGAAAAAATGTACAGACGAAAAAATGCCAGACGAAGAAAAGTCGGACGAAAATCTGCTAGACGAAAAAAAAAACGCCATGGAATCATCTCAACTAGGCGGTGTTTCACGGCCGAGAGCAGCACGCCCACGCCGCCATCCGCTCTTGGCACCATGCCAGGAGCTGACGTTACATTTTGGGGTAGTGTTGGAACTTGGAGATAAGAGTTTGTTTATATCTCCATGGAAACCCCATTTGACACGTGTGATAGCAGCGTGCTGTTATCAGTGAAACCTTGAGTGAAACCAAACACCACCCTGATCTCAACCAAGGCAATGTCAACACAATTAGAATTCATAGTCGGCGTGTGAATAAAGGAGCTTTTCCCATATTATGGACATCAGAAGGTGAGAGTTCCAGTTAGCGCCTCTGCCCCACCCCACTTTCAATAGGATATGGTTGCTTAGCCCACATTCAACCAACGAAGAGGAACATTTGCTAATTCCTAATTGTAAATATTTTATGCAGAGGTAAGAACCCTTATCGATAAAATCAATTTAAATAACTGCTTAAATAACAAAGTGAAGAATGCTGAATTGTACATTGCGGAGCAGAGTGTCAAGGCGAAGCATCAAAGCCTGACAGTAGGTATTCATCTTGCAGTCAGACTTGAAACTTGAGACTGGCTGTATTAGCCTGTAACTTGGCCAAGACCCTGGTCTTCCAATTTCCATGCAACATGGATGAAATAAATTAAGCTTGATTAGTGATTAATATTGATTTCTTTAGAGTTTTGATATTTTTAAGTGCGATCACGAAGGCAGTGTAATTGCTCACTCCATAGCTAGCTCATAGCTGAAGCATCAAATCCTGAGTTAATTTCCAAGCATGAACTGAAAAGAATTAGAACTGGATCAGCTCAGCTCAGCTAAATCAGCTCAGCTCAATCAGCTCAGCTCAGCTCAGCTCAGCTCAGCTCAGCTCAATCAGCTCAGCTCAGCTCAGCTCAATCAGCTCAGCTCAGCTCAGCTCAGCTCAGCTCAGCTCGCTCAGCTCAATCAGCTCAGCTCAGCTCGCTCAGCTCAGCTCAGCTCAGCTCAAGCTCATTCAGCTCAGCTCAGCTCAAGCTCATTCAGCTCAGCTCAGACAGCAGCTCAGCTCAATGCATTACAGAGCCGGCTCAGCTCACAGCTCAACAATTTGGCAAAATGTTGAGCCGGCTCATGAGCTGAGCTGATTTTTGAGCCGGCTCAACTGAGCTGATCACAAGTCTGGTGTTCTTATTCATGTTTTATTTGGTCTGGCGGCGGAGCGTCGACCAAATGGCGGAGAGGAGGGAGCCTTTACAACCAGTCAGTGTGTAGCCATCCACGCTCGAGAGAGACCAACGACCCCTTTGAAAGACGAAAAGAATGATACAGAGGTGGCAAACAGACGTGGTAGTTCGTTTTATGTGGACACATTTGTGAAGTTATCTCTAAATTCCGCGAAATCCCAATACCTAAAAAGCAGCAAACTGAACATTCTATAGTAGCTGGTACAAAGTGCATAAAAGTGAACGTGAAGTGAACGTGTTTTCCGGAGGGAACTGCCGTGTCTGCCAAAAAAAAATCACAAATAACATGCTAGAATACTCAACCAAATAATTACCTGTCTTGTCCACTGTCCTTATTGAAGCCTGACGACTTCAGCGATTTGAAAGCCTTCAACCACTTGGTCTTCATGCCTGCCCGCTCGCTGCTGCTGGTCCGTCGCTCCCGACCTCCGTCCGCAGTCTCGACCTTGCTTGCAAACAGGTCACGCTGTGGCAGACAAAGAAAAGGGACGATTAACCGTCAGATCTACAGACAAATCACGCTCTGCGCGCGACGCGTTCAATGGTGCTCAGGAACAGTGAAACACCCCTGGTGAAACCCGTCTCCGCCTAAGTTCCCACCTCTTGACGTCCGCTCTGCCTCCGTAAGTACAAGCCCCTCGGCGAACCTGTCACCTCACCCACACGGCCACATCCCGCACGCGTCGTCCACCGCTCCCGACTGTTGCCTGTCAGCCTCTGACCAGTTCCTGCCCAGTCCCTGCCCTGATTGGCTTCGTCTCTGTCCAGTCCCTGCCCAATCGCTGCCACGCCGCCCACGCCCCACGTGCCGTCCGATGCACCCATACTGCCAGTCGCACACGGGCAGCAAACGGGGTACATGGGACCAAACGTATTAACCGTTCCAATGTGAGCTCGGTAACGGGTGAATCTGCAATATCAGACTAGATATCGGCCGTGAGGCACAGCACTTTACTAGGTGACGAGCTTAGCCTGTATGGATGCGTTCGGAATGCCTTGTCAGGTAAAGCAGTAAAGTGATCCCTGAATAAAAATAAAATAAAAGCTGGTATTCTAGCGTTTATGTAACGTCTTCCAGCCTAAGCCATCCATTAGCGTCCGTCTCTGGTCATGCTATCAGTACCCGTCCCCGGCCTTGCCCGTCCCCGCTCCCCCAATAGATTGGTACATCAGCGACCGGCTAATCGCCCCAGCTGGACTATTCCCCGACCCGCAGGCAAATGGCTCGAGCTGGAGTCTCCGTCTGAGCCTGGCGCCCGCTCCAGAACGAAATTAGCGCGCCGTTTTCCGGATTGTAGCCCCGCAGGGCGGGATACGCGAAAGGCATTTGAGTGGTTCCGTCGTCAGCCCCAGTGGCAGACGAAGATGGGAACTGACGGGCAAAGCAGCAAAAACACGCCAGCGCGGAAATGTGGAAACCGAGTCCAAGGATATTAAGCATTGTAAGAAATGCGGTTTAAAAGCGATGTAAAATGAAATCATTCGCGAACAATACCTAAGCTTGTATATTATTGTACATACATAGGCATTGTGCGATTAAAATTTCAGAAAGTATTAGGGAAATTAAGCCAACTGGACGTTATCTACCACGATCTTTATCTTCATATGCCGTTCAATAAAGCTGAATTCAGCCCAGGAATGGGGCTAAAAGAAATAAGGAGCACTTTTCTGGGATAGAGTCGCCCCGCCTGCGTTCGGAGTCAATCTGCCTGGGGTTGAGCAGGTCACCGGTCAATGGCAGGCGGTCAACAGTAAGCAGTAGTTATTCTTTGGTCATGTCCGGTGTTGGGGATGAGAACCACCCGGTTCCAATGCAAACACAATTTTCAGTGGTGATGCATATCTAATACGGTTCTATGCAGCCCTTAGAAGCTGTTTCATGCACAAGTCAGCCTGTCTCATCTCTCGGCTCCATCCACCCGAACTCGCGACTCCGTCTGTTCCATCCCTCGTCTCCATATGTCCCACCCACCACAACCCCGTCCTAACCCTCTTCCTGTCCCTCTCAGTCCCACCCGAAGGCCGCCACGGGCCGCGGGGCGCATCCATCGCGCCCGGGGCGGCGGCGGTGACGGCGGCCGGCGCTCGGCACGCCTGCACACCGACCCGGCGCCGGCGGCGGGTGACACGACCAAGACACTCCGCGAATGATTGCATTTCCATTGGAGATGGAGCGGCCCCGGCGCGCCGGCGACGGGGTAGGCGGTGTGGGGGTCGACTGAGACGCAGGGATTCGGGCCGACTTCGACGGGTCAGCGGCCGTCACAGGCGAAATCTGGGCTTGTTGAAATATGGTGTGGTGGATGCAAATGCTTGCAGTATACAACAATACTGCTTATGTAGATACTAGATATGCATCTTGGCTCGTTAGCGCCCAAAATTGGACACGAGACTCCACTAACGAGGCCTCCGACGTTTGACTGAATTGGCTAACTAAACTCGTCCATCGTCTGTGCTGGTAAAGCTACTGTCTATTCAAGTCCCTAGTCCTTTGGAATAGCACGATCTTCCGAGAGACCGGGGCGCTGATAGCCTCCACCGGCAGCTAATCTATTGCTAAATCATCTTGCAATAACGATAGAATGCACAGATGAAAACCAGCTACTGCAGCGTAACGACCACGCCACTGTAAAAAGCTTAGCAAAACAATACGATGCAATACCTTGCAATGACATCGAAATAAAAAAATATCAACTTCATCTTCTTCTTCATCTTCTTCTTTCCATGAATCATGGAAAACTTTGAATATATTGCATTATTTCATACAAATCGTATCGGAAATGCTCGCAACATTCCATCCGAGACTGCAGATTGCGTTCCGAGTCCGTCCAACCTTTAACTGCGTGCTGGGGAGGCGATGGGCCATGGACGGGAGTACGGCTCCGGCCGGGGTGCGATTGGTGTGGCCACCGGCTCCGGAGCGCTCGTAACGGCTGGTCATACGGACCGCAACGGCCGAACGTCTCCGGGTGGCGGTAATAAGGAGCCGTATCGGCCGGGCCGCGGCGGCCACAGCGGCCACAGCGGCCCGCCGGGGGCGGAGAGCCCGGAACAATGACAGACCACCGCGGCGGCCTGCACACACATTAACTGGAGCCACTCGCTCCGGAGGATGTTTTTCTTTAGAAGTTGGGCCACGGCCGTCGCGGCAGGCGAATATAAACTGGTCGGGCAGTTGCCGACTCTAAATGCGCAGTTGTGCGCCGTTTCCGGGACAAATTGTGTTTGTGCTCGACCAGGGAAAACTTGGCAGAACAAGCTGCTGAAGGGTGATGAGAAGTGAGCCAATAAAAAGCAAAGAGAGCGAGTGAGAGAGAGAGAGAGAGAGAGAGAGAGAGAGAGAGAGAGGGAGAGAGAGAGAGAGAGAGAGAGAGAGAGAGAGAGAGAGAGAGAGAGAGAGAGAGAGAGAGAGAGAGAGAGAGAGAGAGAGAGAGAGAGAGAGAGAGAGAGAGAGAGAGAGAGAGAGAGAGAGAGAGAAGTGGGATGATGTTTTGCACGCTTTTGCTTCTCATTGATGAACGACATTCCCGATAAAATAAATATGTTTTACTGACTATGCAGTATGCACTAACACAGTTTACACAGAAATGCCCTTGTAATTAAAAGCAATTATGAGGCAACCAAACGCCAACGAGCGCGCGAGTGCATATGACAAATTATACGAGCAGCAATCAACTAAGTGACAGACCCAGTCTCATGCAGGCTCTGAGCAGCGGCTCGCCTGGCCGCACGTCAGCGTAAAGGTAACGTGCAACTTTTAAACGAGCCGACAGTACCCTCTAGGGATTCTTAGGCGGCATGTGAGTGGCGAGCTGAGCTCTAAAGCCGCTCAGGGACCGGTGCTCGGGCCTCTCCGTGAAGGTGATGCAAGAAAGTCTTTGAAAGTCTTACTTCACGGAGAGGCCCGGTGCTCGGGCCTCTCCGTGAAGGTGATGCAAGAAAGTCTTTGAAACCCGGAATTCAAAAGTGGTTGTTTCACTGTAGCGACGATGATTGAGTATAAAGAGAAATACTAAGACGTTCGTAAATGATCATATTGTTTTCTATATGATACACGCTGTCATTGGAGGCTTCCAATATCCACTGAATAGGCAAATAAGTGCGCCAAAATATCACATCGTATTCGGCTAAGAAAAGGCTGAGGGATGATAGCAATTTGAAAAGCCCACGGAACATACTCGCATAGTGATTGTCGCGCTCATAAGCAGTGGCAAAAATCCTGCTACCATCGAAAGAGCAACGAACGAAAATCATGTGCCTGACTCATCTTCTGCCAATGAAATGTTTCAAATTACAATGTATTAATCATAACTTTTTGCAGGTCCACTACACTCCGATTGCACCGAACGCCTCATCGTCTCGCGCTCCTGATAATTTGCGCACGCTCGAAGGCCCCTGGTGCTCACAGGGCAATATTTTTACAGCCCCAATGCATCCGGTGAGAGACAGTCAATGTTTATGGTGGCAATAAATCTCCTGGACGCTGACTAGCACTCGACAAAGCCTTTTGAGGCCTGCTTTGGTAAATACCGCCATCATACGGCATTCACTCGTGGGGTACCCCCTGGCGTGCCGCGGCTACTCAAAGTGGCGCAAGTAACTATATAGCTGTCGCCTTACGGATCGGTAGGTCTATTATCACGGGACAGGAGTGGTGTCCGCTCGGACGGTTGCTGTAGTTTGCCAGATGGACAAGTTGTTCTAGGAACTCGCCTATTCGTCATTCGTTGGGGCGACCTACTGGAATCCAGTCGATGGTGGGTATTGACGCTTTCAAAGGTCAATCATCACGTAGAAAGTGCCCAATGTACATATGTCCCTCTTGGGCTCGAACTGAGTAACTGCATCGCAACGAAAAATTTCATTGCAGGGTGCCGGTGGACAACGCAGTTTACTCAGGTGTGACATTCAGGCTGAGCACTTGCGATGCAAGCGATAAACTTTACCTCGAAACAGACTATTTCCTGAAATGATGTTGCAGCTTTCAGTTATCCAGCTTTGCCATCGATACCATTTGAGTGATCAAATTTTCGAAGCGGCGCACCGATGGCTCTAAAGACAGGGAGCCATCTTTCGAGTACCGATTGGACAATTCTATATCACCCTCAGCCCTGTCCAGGCCCTGGCAGGCGGCTCGCGGGTCAGGCCGCGGTCAGAGTGCGACAGGCCTGTCTGTGACAAACGGCACTCATCAGCGGCGCCGGCAGACACGGCTCGGGGCCACACGCTCCACAGCTGGCCGGCGGCTGGTCGGACAACGCCAGACGGCCCTCGGGACGGCGCCATAACGCTGTCATAACCTCGCCCCAGGCACTGCCGCCGGCCGTGACCGGTCGACTGGGGGTGGCTGGTCTACCACCAGACCTTCGCGCTGACACTTCCCGGCGGGAATTGCAATGGCTGTCGGCCATCATGAAGCCAGATCTTTAGTGCACACTCGCCACCGGCTGATAGCAATAACACTTT